TATAAGCATCACTATAGGGGTTTTTAAAGCTCGCTTTTAGGCGTCATAACGGTTTTGATCAAAAACAAAATTTTGATACACTATAAATTTGGGTAAATGCGACCGATTTTTTACATTTTGGTATAGGTACTTTAGTCTCACCTGTTACTTATACTTGCTTTCAATGCTAATTCGCATGGAGTAAGTTTCAACATATCTGTTAAGTTTTTTATTGGGTTTTCAGGCTTCTCTCTGTGTGTTGCAAACATTTTGATAAACTGATGAAATCACATCCGGTGATGTGTATAATACTGCACGCAAAATGAATAACACTATCTGATGAGTTTTTATCAACACTTTTCTTTGTCATCTTATATGTTGTCGCAAATATTCAAGCATAATATCCAAGAGATTGTATGAAAGGTTGCATTTTTGATATGCTTAAAAAAAATTGGTTTTTCAAGTGATGTCACTCCTCAAAACCATTCAAAATTATGACATTAGCCGAGCTTCTTTCGAAACTATACACATATGTGTTATGAAGTATTTGCCACGTTTTCAATTTTCAATCGATTCGGCTCACAATAACCTTGTCTAGAGAAGCGCACAAAATTTTCTTGATTGATTAACTCTAACCGTTTTCTTAGCCAATTTTCGTAGACTTTTTCGAAAAAAAAAGTTCTTATGAAAAAAATCGTCGCGTCATTTTTTACATCAATATTTTAAGAAAATATTGTTATACATACTTCACTGATAGATACTGAATAATATTTAAAAGATATATTTCGATTTTTGTCTAAAATTGCAAGGAAAATGGCAACCAGTTGTCTGTGCCGATGTTTTTTTAAAAAAAAAAACAAAATATTTTTTTAAGTGTCTCGATATATGTAAAAATGTGTATTGGAAGTTTGTCTTAATATAATGAATTGGTCTCTTAAATCAATTGAGGGAAGTGACTCCTAATCTGTTGCTCACAAGATAGGATTACTTCGCTAGGTTTCTCTTTCAATTTTCTGGAATAAATGATACGGACAAACAAACAGAGGAATATTTTGAAATAAAGTTGAAGCACCAGCCTCAAACCATATATAAAAATTTCTCAACAATTTTTTCTCCTAATTCTCGATCGGTAAATATATCGCCTGATTGGAGTGCTTTTCTTAAACGAAATTCTACAACATCTACAAACATCTTTTAAGCTCTGAAGTTCTAAATGCAAACATAGCAGACAAATAACAACAATAAAAATGCTTGGCACTCTGTAAGAAATAGGGACTATCCGTTATAGCCCAAAATAAGTGACAATCCATTTATCGTTGGTTTGATTGCTTGTTTATGTTCCATTTTGAAGTTATACAAAATTGGATGTGCGAGTGTTCTCACTTTTTGGCTAACTTTAAAACAAAAGTCATTTTTAAAGTAAATTTTGGGTGAATGTATATAAAAATTACAATAATATAAAATGACATGATTTCAAAAAGCGTTATACGTCACTTCTATACTAGTTATTAACATAAATATTTAATAATTATATTATGATTATTTTATAGATCATTTAAAAGAAAGTGTTTTAAATCGATTAAATTGGGAAAATATAACTTTATTAAAGAAACTCTACAAGTTTTGTAATATTAAAAATCTCTATGATTTTATTAAAAATAAAATGAATAAATTTATTATTGGTATTTGTTATCAATGGATTTGAACTATTTAAAACTAATACACTAACTTAACATACATACGTACGGTGCTGCTACCAACTCTCATATATCACTGCGGGAAAAATGTAATAAAATTGTATTTTCTTAAAATGCCCGCGCTATGATCTTGATGTGTATATTTTTTTGGTATTTTTCGGGATGCGTGCCCTGTAGTGGCACCGTCTTTACACCCTGCATCATTTGTTTCACAGGGTATATTAAGTTTGAGCGAACCTATGTAACTTCCTGAGCGGCTTAAGATAGACCCATCTTTTATTATACCGATCTAAATGATTCTAAATCGATCTAAGCTTGTCTCGTCGTTCGTCCATGTGCTTTCGTATTCAATCTACAGGTCGCAATTTTTGAGACATTTCGATGAAACTTTGTGCATAGTCGTGCTTTCAGTCAAGGTTGAAAGTTGAAAATGGTTCGAAACGGTCCATTTTTTCTACTACTCCTCATACAACACCTTATTTTGAAAAGTCGTTATCTGCCGAATTTGGACTACATATGTATATTTTTTTGACACAAAAGTCAGGTAGGCATTCTAAGTCATCATAAAAATGAAGTGGACTAAATTTGTACTACATGAGTCTATTTCTTGGACCATACTCCATCTGTTGATCGGAAAACCTTCAGAAAAAGAAAAATTTTTAGTATCTTATGATAAAAATTGGTTCATAGCAGCATTTTAGAAAAGAAACTAACGGATCGCATAGATCTAATTTTTAAGCCATACACATATAAGTGTTAACATTAGGAGTAAGCTCTCATATGGGGTAATTTCTAGTTTTTTTATGATGGAAACTGAAAAAAAAAAAGTAATATTTTTGGGAAGTGAAAAACATTAACTTTGCTAAATTTGGATCAAATCATGCGAGATTTTAGCCATCCTCCAATATACGGGCTTTTATGACAAGTATGTTTTTGTATGAAAACAATGTGTGAATTTGGACGTGTTATTACCAAAACGAGTGAGTAATTGTACTAGGCGAAGTGGTGTACGATATCTAATTGTAGGCTTCGCCCGACTGTAATGTTCTTACTTGCTGAAGGAATGAATTGGTGCCATAGAACATGATTTCATTCCAAGTCACTTTGGCTGTTGACTAGATTTACATAAGCCCAAGGTATCCTTAGCACAATTGTGTGATGATCACTCTTTTGGAAAAATAAAATGAAAAACGTTAGTAAAACTATCGCGTGTATAGGTAGTATTGAATTCGTTTCTTAAAAATAGAAAATATAACGAAAACGATTTGAATTCGATCTATGCAGCCAATCCATTGCATTAACATGTAATAAAAAATGAAGAAGTCCACCTGCCAGTCGTGGCAAGAGAGAAATTGCAATGTAGGAAAAATAGCCAAATAAAGAAATATGCGAAGGATAGTTTAAGTGTGAAAAAGTAAAAAAGGGAAGTACACTAAGAAAGCTGGAGAAATTGGAAATTTTAGAAGAAGAGCAAGAAAAGAAATCAGCATGACGTGCTTCGCGTCAATAGATATAGATTATCATAAGATATTCCCGATCAATCAATAATTAAAAAAACAAAAATATTGCTATTGTGAATGGTGGGTTGAGAAGCGTAAAAGATATTAAAAAAATTAAAAAAGAAAGGCTTCATGCACATCTTAAGATAAACTTTTAGCACGCATTATCTGAAGGGGGAGAAGTAACAAAAAAGGAACAAAAAGAGTACATAACATATGTAAGAATCTGTACCAATTTAATTATTATCGGCGTTATGTTCCAAGTAACGGTTAAAAGAATGCCTAATGTCTTTACATACATTATAGGTTTAAACAAACCGCTAACTAATTTTATCTATAGCGTTCACCTACAATTTTATTTCAATGATCATTTCAGTAATGTCGCTATCTGTGTTTAAGAACAGAACAAAGCAGAACGACAAATGGTAAGACAGACGGACATGTATATTGATGATAATGATAGTGTGTATACTAAGTAAAATATCTAAGTTATGGGTGTTTATGGATGTTGCAAAAGGAATGCTGAAATGGATATATTTTGAATCTTCTTTTAGAACATAAAACATACAATATACATACATAAAATAAATACTACTAATATTATATATAAGAGTGTATAAATAAAAAAGTACACACAATTCATTTACTTTTTTAAAAGCACGTCTATATATTATCCTTTGATAAAAAAACAAACAAGATTCTTACATATTTTTTTAGTTTGTATACATACATACATATATATATATATATACATATATATACATTTTTGTTTTTTTTTATATGTGTCTTTTTCCCAAAAAACCAATTTCAAGTTAAACTGTTTTCACGAAATTTAACTTTCTGTCTTCGCTACTTGTTTTTTTCATCTCGGCCAGAAGAGAATGTATTAATTTTCCCATATTGCCTGCAGTGCGTAAAGCCCGTCATCTTTCACATTTAATAACTTTCCTCATTTCACTGCTATAAAGTGAATATGTGCGCGTAATATAGGCGCTCTAAAGTGAACAAAGGTTTTTCAAAGCAGCCTAATCTAATGGCGCTGTCTAAAGATGGCTACACGTCTCGGTAAAGTTTATATATGCCTCGTAGATGTTCAATATTATTAACTTTGTACAATTTTTAACGAAACCCTCTTCTCAATTATGACAGAAACAAGTTTTATATGTCGTATATTCAATTGAAAGACAACACTGGATATTTAAAAATGATGACTAAAACTTTGGACGATCGAATTCGTCAAGTGTCGGCCACAATCTTTAATCTCTAATAAAAATCAATTTACCGCAATTGGAATCGAAAATTGGGTCTTGCTTCACGTTTTGTAAATCAAACAAGTTTACTGACTGAGTCAATATTGCCCAGAAAAACACAAATGTGTAAATGATTTTTTTAAAGAAAAAAACGCATTTTAACAATGAATAACTCATCGAATTCGCCCCATTTCGTGTTTTGTGATTTCTAATTATTCGAAAAAATACCTTAGCCGATGACAAGAAAAAGCGTTATGCCAACGCATTGATGCAATAAACCCACCGCATATCTAAAAATTAGTCAGTCATCGAATAGGTGGCATCAACAGAATGCGCTTTATTGGAAAACTTTTCAGAACATAGCTTGTCATAGAACTGCCGAGTACGTCATTGTGAGAGAGTTTTTAATTTTTGATCTGCAAGAAAACCGTTTGAAAGTAAAGCAGATAGCATTTGACGAGCATTAAGCGGTTACACGTATTTCAGAAATATGTTCACGGTGTCGAAAATTATAGACGAAAATATGAAAAATGATCGATGATTTTTTTTAAAGATTCTTTTACTTTCTTATGTTTGGTAGGTGGTGGGTCGCAACAATTTTTTTCATATTCATTTCATATTCCTAATCGATCAAGGAAAGTTTGCGTCAAACTTTAGCTTCATGTTTACGACTGTGGCAAGTCGACAATAACAGAGAATAAAAATTGGTTTTTTTGGTAGAAATAGGTATGTATATGCAAAACGTTGGCAGTTCTAATGTTAATGGATGTCAGGAGATCTTTCTTTTTTTTTTAATTGAGATATGGGTTTAACATGGATTTTGTTGGTTTCTTCTTGAAATAATGTCATTACGGAATTCTTTTCTACATATTAGATAGTAACCGGGTATTAATGAGCTTTCTTTTATATTTACGCAATGTATATATATATTCTTGTATGTACGATATTGATTTATATATATGTATATATGTTTTTCAAAAGGAAAAATTTCCTTTCGTCAGAAATAAAAATTATTTAATCACAAAATTAATGTTCATTAACAGCATACATATAGGAAAACACTTGTTTCAGTTCTGTAGCTTTTGCAATTTGAGTGGATTTAAAAATTTTTACTATGAAAGATAGGGCGAAATTTTTGACTATGACAATAAGAATTTATCGTCATACTTGGTCTTTAGTCTCCTTAACATATAAATTTTGAATAATTGCCAATCATTTGGTAAAACTAAGCCATTATTAGTATTATGTCTAGTGTCAATTTCGAGCTCTAATGTTTGTTGCACTCTTTGCAGCTGTAATTACTGATGATTATGTAGATTTATGATATACAGTTCGAAAACTCTTGCTCACAGAATACTGCACAGCATGAACAAGGCCAATACAAAGAATATCGTGGTTATAATATCTTTGTGTAAATTGCGGTCTCTGTAGAAAGGTCGGGTGATAAATGATTCCTTGCGTGTTTGCTTTAACAGCCACAAGGGTATGATCAATTGCATTATATCGGGTACCATGAAGCCAATATCACGAATAATTTGATGAGCATACCCTTCTCCGCGGACTACATTAAGAAAGAATTGATCAAAGCTGCTAGCAATTATATGCAATAGAGCAATGCCAACGATACAGAAAATTTTCTTCGATGTCACTGTATTGGTGCTATCGGCCAATTGCATTACCATTGTTGTAGCTATTAACTCGGTTATCTGTAACGTATTTAAAAAAAAATTGGTTAAATTTTCTTTAACAAAAAAAAAAAACAAAAAACAACAACAACAACAATATTCGATTTGAACAGAATCTTTTCTGTCGTACTTTACGCATATCGCCACGGGTAGCTAGCTTATCTAGAAAATATGACACTATTGTAAACTTTGTAATCCAGGTAAGTAAACGCGTTATTAAATTTCAACTCTTAAGCATAAAAGAAATAATTCCTAGATATATTTAAAATGACAGTTTTTCTAAATGAACAACAACAAATGGTTGTACTCTAAATGCCGCATTAATAAGTAATAAATACACTTCCAAGGAGCATCACTGCGTAGTTTTCGATATTATGATACGAAGAAAAGAAAGAAAGAAAATTATATACACTATGGTTTCTCTATGTTTACACTACGCACCGCTTATGGTATAGAGCGTATTAAGTTAGTGCAGATGTATGTAATACCGAAAAAGGCTTAAGATAGACCCGCCTTTTATTATACAGGTCGATTCAGAATCACTTTTTAAATTGATTTAATTGATTTTTTTTTTTTTTTTGTTTAAGTTGCAGCACATAAACGTATTTTCCCCAAGAACGAATGCTATTGAAAATGGTTCGGATCGGTCCACTTTTTTGGCCACTTCCCTTATAACGCTCTATTCTGAAAAGTCGTTACATGGAAAAAAAATTGTAATTTTTAAATTTTTTGGCAAAAGTGGCTAAGTACTAGTATTTCGGCATTCTAAATTGGTATGAAAACTTTGGACCGGCTGGAGAAGTTTTTGAACCCCCTCTCATATCATGAAAACTGAAGTTGATGCAACAAAAACGTGTCATTTTCAATGCTTCATGATTAAAAATTAATCATAATAGTAGTTTAGCATCAAAAAATTAACTTTGACAAATTTGTACCATCTCGGCTTATTTTTGTCTCCTACTTTAATAAGAATTTAGACGAAAAGTCCAAGTTTTAATATGTGATGATGGAAATTTCGGGTTTGTGATAGCCGTCATATTTTCAAATAAATCATCTCCTTCGGCGCCATTCGTCGACCAAAATGAATTGGGTATCATTCAAAATTTCGTGGCATTTTTCCTAATCGATGGCGTTAGAGCCGCATTACTTTACTAACACTTATCCTATTAAGTAAAATCAAGTGACAACATTATAGTCGGGTTAGACCGACCGTTCAATACCATACACCATATTGTCTAACATAATTCTCATTTTTGCCATAAAATACAAAAATTGTGCCTTGTTTTTACAAGAACTTACTTTTATGAGACTGTACATTAAAAATTAGACTCCTTCGCAAATCAGTGCTTACTTTTCGTAAGAATGGTTGCGCCCAAGAAGTTCAAAAGTTGTGGTGCCTATTCAAAACTCAGCATAGCTGATTTTTATGTCAAATTACTATTATACATCAAAACTGGACTTTTCCGCCCTAAAAAATCAAAATTTTCGTGCAAATCCTAATATAGGGTCGAATCTAAAAATAGACGTAGTTGGTCCAAGTTTGGTACAGTGAATTTGTTTATCTTAAATTATTATTATGTGTCAGGTTTCCTCATAACACATTAAAATTTAGACTTTTCTGTTCTACAAACGATCAATTTCCGTGAAAACCTATATATATAGTAGAATCCAAAAAATAGGCCGAATAGGCACACGGTTGGTCTACTCGTTTTCGTTTTAAACGTCTATAGTTAAAAATAAGCTCTGCTCGACCAATCATTGCTTAAGTGAAATTCTTGAAGACGTTGAGAAAAAATGGATGGTATTTTGTCTTATGGTATCGTTGCGCAGCTGAACGTCGACGAAAAATCAATTCTGAACCATTTGAAAAAGGTTGGACGCATGAAGGGGCTCAACATTTACCTGTGACATAAATAATGATAATCGCGATTGAAAATAGACAATGAAAGGTGGGTCAATAATTATGTGAGAACAAGGTAGATAGATGAAGTTGCACAAACGGTAACATGCTAAAAAAGCCTAATTGTTTATTTTTTTTTTTTGGATGAAAATCTGTTTACGATAGCGATTGAATAAAAAAATTAAGTAGACCTAATTTAAACCATCTGTCTATTCCTATTTTATTTCTCGTCGATTTCTTCATCCCACTACGTACTGGATATCCCATGAGAAGTAAGTCTTTTGGAAGTAAGTCTTTAATTTTTAATATTTTATGTTGAAAATTAATTCATAGTAGCATCCAGCAAAAAAATTAACGATAGTGAATGTGGATCACAGAGGTCTATTTTATTTGGAGCCCAACATATGTAGGCGCTATCAGGAAACGCGAACTCTTATATGAGAAGAATATTTAACCTTCTAATATGCGGGCTTTCATGAAAATTGTGGCTTTGTGTGAAAATAATGTGTACTTTTTAGAGTATTATTACCAAACCGAGGAAATAACTGTACTAGGCAAAGTGGTGCAGGGTATGTAAAAGCGGGCGTTGTCCGACTATAATATTCTGAGTTGTTTTTAATTGCTTTAGGTTAAACTAGGCAATCAACCAAAGTGCCTTGAAATAGATTAATGGCTGTCTAAGATTCAGCCCTAAGATGAGTAAAGCTTTTCACTTCACTTTTGATCAATGTTGCTCCAAGGAACAATAGACGTATACATGTCACTGCATTCATATTTTTCATATATCTCTGACATTTTTTAGAGAATATTACATAAATATAAAATATGATGTATGTACAATACAAGTACACAAATCTAATCCTCTAATCTAATATACACTTGTAGGCGCGCGTTAAGTTTTTTTTTCTTCGATGATTGATTTCATTGAGCGGTCATTCTGTAATCTTTGCAAAGATGTCTTTGCATTACATAACTACTATTATAAACATATACTACAGCAGTAATATATATTTGTACATCATACGTACAATGAGTCTCATTAATATTGGGTTTTTTTCGCTTGACAAAAAATGAACGCTTGTTAAACGTGGTTCATCGTTCAAACATAACAATTTTTTTTTACTACTTTGTACTACTGGGGAATACATAGTAAAATAAAAAAAAAAAACAAATAAAATATTATTCCAATAGACAAGAAAATTGAATAACTTCAAGAACTCAAAAAACATAGCGTCATTAATATTGCATTTTTTTTTGTATGTAAGGAGAGATATGAGGAAAAAAAAGCATATTATTAAAATAATAATATTTGGTGGGGTGTCCTCTCTGCTTAATAACGTCATTTAAACGTTCTGACCCATTTTGTATAATTTTTCTTGTGTAGGAAGCAGGGATCTTATACATACCCCATTCCTCTTATAGTCTGTTTTTCCTGTTTTTCCTGTCTTGGACGGAAAAGATTGAGTGTTTTCGTGCATAGCGGTCCAATTCAACCCACATATTTTTGATACCGTTTAATGGCGGGTGATTGGGGAAGAGGGTAAAACACTTTGGGGCAGTTAAATTAAGCGGGACTTATGCTTGAGGTCGCTATCGTGGTAGAATTTAAATGTTACCAAAATGTTACCAAGTTTATCAGTTCTTTCTTTCAAATTTTCCCTCAATATCTTTAAAAAATCCTCCTTATTTACAATCCTGTCCATAAACACCAATTTTCCGACTTCATTGGCCAATGCATACCAGACTATGACATAAGGCGTTGATATAAGAACGTAATTGAAAACTAAGACTAGAATTTGCGAGCCCAATTCTTATTGAAAAAATGATCTTAGAAATGTGTTTTTCTTGTCTTACCCAATATTAATGAGACTTATTGTATATAATATTGTTTCTTTAAACTTACCGTAAAGAATAATTGATGATTCCATTGCTGATAATAATCATCGTTATAGTAGTTCATATACGCCCACCATGCATAATAATGAGAGAATATGGACAGACTGAATAATATTAGCATCGTGTAGCGTATACGTTGTTGCAAAATTAATGTAATCAGTCGCTTAATGCATTCGTATAGTGCTATAACAGCAAATACCGTTAGTAGCCACATTTTAAAAGTATTTTGAGTAGCATTGAAGTACATATGCTTGTAGGCAGCAACACCCGATTCATAGGGACCTTTAAATACTGTATCCCAGCAGGAGCAGGTACAAAAATGCCTATCAACGTAACGTGCGTAATTTTCCCAGAAATACCACAACACAACTATGTGAACAGGAGGGATGAGAGCAGGAGCCAAGCTCCCACATGCAATCGGTAACCATTTCATATCAAACATTGTGTTTACTTCAGTGCGTTAATCTTAATCTATGCTTATATTCATATATAGTCTTCGCATTTACATCTAAATAAATAAAAAATGCAAAGAATATAATATAAGAATGGAAAAAATTGTGATCAATCAAAAAATTAAAAATCAAATTTTTGCAAAGACAAAAATATTTTCCTGTTAAGACTTGTTCAATAAATACGATAAGAAGAAAAATGTAATTCTCTTCTGTCTTTATTATTTTTTTTTTGACAACATATCATATGTCATATAGTATCATATGGCAGGTGCAATAGTTTCCCAATTTTTTTATGACTATCAAATAACAGGATTTGTGGAGGAGTTCGACATGTGGCGAACTGCTTACAATTCGACTACGACATTCCACGCAATACATTTCTCAGATTCCTATCGTTAAGGCCTCCAAATAGACAACTCGCGAGATATCGAAAGGAAGGAGAATTCTCTTTCTTCTGTCAGTGCGACTGGTTGTTTTTTTTTTTTTTTGAATTTGTTATTCAACCACTCCAGTGACACTGAACTGTTAAGTAGTTTGGCAATTTCTTGCAGTTCTGCACTATGAAACAATATAACTATTCGTGTAAATAAGGAAAAAACTTGTTGTTTTTGATGAATTAAATTTTTCTATCTCATGAATCGTTAGGTGTCAGTTCCGCTTTAATTATACCCTTAAGATGGCCGTCATTAACAGTATTTAGTCTATCAGAACTGAGGTAAAGCTTTCGCTGATAGATTTCACGTAAGAGATAGCACAAATCAATTTTGGTAAGCGCCTTCTGCTACAACATTAGTTCCATATACAGCACATATTTCTCTATGTGCTTCTGCAGCTCTTTTTATCTTTTTTAAAATATAAAACTATATGCTCGCTTCGATCTTCCACGCCTTACTTACACGTCTCGCTACTATAACAACCGATCAGTGTGAAAGTTTTTTACAAAATAATCATTAGCCTGCTCTACGTAACTACATATATTTTTAACACTAATTATCTGTCTAGCTAAGTAAAAAAAGCTATTTTAGCCGGGTGTCGGGAAAAACCCCAAATTTCTCAACTAGGGAATGAAACTTTTCTTGATAGCTAGAGTGCGTAAAGTGGCACCGGTGATCCCGTTAAAAAATTTGTGTTCCCTGAACCTCGCAAGCTTATCCAAAAATCTACCTCAGTCACTGTGACGGAAACCTTTGGCATCGGCGAATACCGAATTGACCAGTGTATTATCCCTTATTACTTGCTTTTTGTCACATTATAATTGTACGCTTAATAAAAATGGAATACACAGCTGACAGATAACAAGAACATTATAGCCCGGTAAAGTCGACCGTTCAACACCCTACACCACATGGTCTAAGACAATTCGTATTTTTATTATAGAACACAAAAATTATACCTTGTTTCTATATAAAGGCAAATTTTCAAGTGCATATTTATGAGAAAGCGGGTCCAAAACTCAATCTAATGTAAAAAATGCAAATTTAATCCTTACATAAGCCAGAATTCAAAAATAAAGGGTGGATGATGGGAATTTTGTAGACTTCATTTTTTTAAGAAATTACTATAATATTATGGGTCAATTTCCATCACCACATATTACGACTTAGACTTTTTTGTTTTACAAAGAAACAGTTTTCGTGAAAGTCCTTATTAGGCTAGGATGCAAAAAACAGGCCGAGATGGTCCAAATTTCGGTTAAATTACTATTATCATATAATTTTCATGGTAAAGCATTGAAAATTATACCTTGTGGTCGTATGAACTTCAGTTTTCGTTATATGAGAGGGGGTTTAAAAATTGCCTCAGCAGATCCAAAGTTTTCACACCAATTTAAAATGCCGAATTGTTACTAGTTAGCCTCTTTTGTCGAGAGTTACAATTCATATAACTACATTTTAGAATAGGGCGTTACATGAGGATTGATCGAAAAAGTGGACCGATCCGAATCATTTTCCATAGCATACGTCCTCTCTTTAAAATTCGTCACTGTACGAAATTTCATCAAAATATCTCATAAATTGCGACCTGTAGCTTGAACACAAATTTAGATGCACAGATATCAAACGGACAGACTGACAGATAGCCTTAGATCAATTCAGATTACGACTCTGAATTGATCAGTATAGGTGGGGATGGGTCTACCCCAAGTTTTTCTGCTTGCTATGTACGTTCGCACCAATTTTAATCTGCCCTGTACCACAAGTGGTGTGGGGTGTAATTATTTTAAGAATATATATATATATATAGGTGTTTTTCTCATTTATCTCTTTATCGCTTAATTAATCATATAGTTGGTATAAATTTAATATTTATGTTATGTTATATAGATACCTTTTATTTACACTTAAAACTTGTATTGTTTTAATCGTTGTAACTTGTATTTACAATTATGCAAAAAGCATTTCACAGTTTATTATACCCACTACTGAAGGATGGGAGTGAACTCATATTGTTCTTTTTCAAAACGTCTGTCACACCCAAAAGGAAATTTCAGAGTCCCCTTAAAGTATATACGTTCTTGATAAACGTGAAACGCTGAATTGATTAAGCTATGTCTGTCTGTCTGTCCGTCTGTGGGGTGTTGGATGTTGTCACTCTCCTTATCGTAAAAGTGAAGATGTCGACTTCAAATTTGATAGAAACATTGGAAGTTTGTGCACACAGACTTGTATTGAAAATGGGCCAATGGTGAGAGCAGAAGCCCGCAGTGAAGCATTAACTGTATCCAACTCCGTTTTTTTTTTTAAAAAAAACTTGTTGGTTTTCCTTCGTTACTCAGAAATTATAAACTTTAGAAGACTGAAATTTTTTACAGTTACTTTAAGAAACACCCTGCTCTTTACGTACAAAAATGAAAAAAATGCTCACACAAATTTACAGGTGATTAAATTTTATTAGTTTTCCTATTTATGCGAGATTCGGCCGTCGTCGAATTATAACTTTCTTACTTGTTATGTTATGTTTGTCATAATCTTATGCAGTGAACCGAAACAAAGCAAGTTCACGCCTTGAAAAATTTCAAATGCTACACTTCAGTACGACGAGAGTCCATTTAGTCCTATCATGCGGTTGGCAAATCGCCAGTCATTCTTACATCTTATACGAAAATATATTATTCCACCGATTTCGACTGAGACTTTTTAATTCTGTCTATTGTTATAAAAAAAGAAGTACGTTTGGTAAACCTTAGAACTGCGGTATGAGGCTAAAATGAAACTTCTCATTTTGATCCCCACATCATTTTACCCTTTTTAAAACGGTCTCTAAGCTTTACCAGCAATATTTGCATCCTCGTCTCAATTGGTGGACGCCTTCATTTGATTTCGGTGTCGTAGTAGTGCATCTATAAAGAAACTTAGCCACCTATTTATTTAGGAATATTTTATTAGGAATATTTTTCCGTTTGAATACAAGAAAGCAACAGTAAGACAGACGGACAAATAAGTTTATTTCAATTATAACAAAAGGTGGATTTATCTCAGGTCTTTCTGGATTTTCTTGGAAAATTCGGCAATTTTTTGTGAACACGCGCGTATTTAACTAATAAATGAGCGAGTGGATATAATAATCGTACGTAGAAATTTTTACCGCATATCCATTTTCAATGATGCGTAGAAGGTTGAGGTATTTCCAGTGGACATGTTTTTCGCCCCGATTTCGCCCATTTTGAATGCCGATGTTTTAATATTTACCATGAAAAGAAACTTTACCATAAAAGTCTAGATGAATGTACGGAAAGACTTTATAGGGTTCCCGAAGTCTGATTCTGGGCGTTGCAAATGTACCCTTATCTTTTGTTCTTATTAATGGCACTGGCATTAACGCAGCGCACTTCCATTTACAGTCATAACTAACGTAAAGAAACCGTTGAAGTTGTGCGAAAATTATTTCTAGAGGATAACCAACTGATATATAAGTTTATTAGTGGGTACCGAAGGTTAGCCTTCTAATGTTCAGAAGAATCTGAGAGTAATTGATTCACATTTAGCAAAGCTTTATGTTTTGGATATATTTGCTTTTAAAAATAATTGTGCAACATTTTATAAGAAGCAAGTAAAAAGATTTCAGCAAAGAGCTTCAATAATTCGGCAGTGTCATTACGGTCAATAAGTGATTGAATGGAATGAATGGAGAATGAATCTAATTCAGCAAAGGTTAAGCAAGTACGAAATGCCAACAATGGAATTACTGCTTCGCTTATTTTGAAGCACAGTTACATCGTCACGGTTACTCTAGACGATAATAGAAAAGTGGCTATAGCAAATGATTCACCATCAAATGTTTGCTAAATGATAGCAAGAAGAAATGCGTTAGAACCCGAAAGGACTGACGTTACTTATAGCTAATAGTAATTCATATCAACATGTATCTGTAACTCTAGCGACAAGTATTTCTATGGAAAACAACTGAGAAAATTAAATTCGGTCGGGACTGAATCTTTTACACTCATTACCGCTTACCTCAAAAAAGGCAAAAGAAGTAAATGAACAAAATTCTCATGCTCTATAATATGGAGTGCGCACAGTTGATTTCTTCTATTTTCAAAATAGAAATTTTCGTCGTAGAGACATGTAGGCGTTGTAGGCGTGCGCTTTGATAAGTTTAGGCCAATTCCAAATTCTTTTGCACATTTGTAGGCGATATTTTTATTTTTACTAACGAGACAATGTTTACCACAAAAACTGCAACGTTGCGTAAAGAGACAGATGGGCAGACGAACAGACGGACATGTTTAGGTCATTCAAGATTGGCAACTGATCAAGAATTTTAAACTTTATGGGGCTTTCGCAGCTTGTTTTTGTGCATTATAAAGCTATTGGAAAAATAATTAAATTTTGATACATTATAATATAATATTGGGCAGGAGAGGTTAATTTTTTCCATTTTTGTGCACAAATGCTACAGCGTCACCCATAGAATATACGTTCAAGTTTTTGTATACTTATTTGCTAAGCACGTTGAAAAGAAATGATATTTTAATACACTATAATATGGCTGAGCGCGCTCGATTTTTCCTATTTTCGTACAGGTTCTATAGCATTGCCCATACAATATACCT